TTTTCCCTCCACCACCACCACCACCACCACCACATTTCTATTGTTTTCCCTCCGCCAGATTCTATAAAAGACTACCAACTGCCATTCTTAGTTCATTTTGTAGCAATGCCTCGTGTAGTGAACAACAATCGTGGTTTTCTTCAGCTATTAGCTGCTTGCCCTTCTTATCAGCGCCAGTTTCTTTTAAAGACAGCTACACCACAGCAACTTCATGCACTAGTCCAAGTCTTATACAATTTACTCATGGGACACATTCCTATCTCCGAAGAAAATAAGCGGGCATTGCTGCCATATAAGGATGCTTTACTTAACCTGGCCAGTCCAAATGTCCCTTTCAAAACAAAAAAGCGAGTCCTTGTTCAAGAGGATAGTGGTTTTATTGAAGATATATGAACCCCTGTCGTTTCAAGCTTAGGATTTCTAATGCTATAAAAGAGGTGAGACATCGCTAGGTTGATCATTCGAAGCTAGGTCTGTCACGGGTGCTCATCAAAAATGAAGAGAAAGATAGATTTGGTTGAAGAAGAAGATCACGAGAGTGAACATAAAGAAAGCGAAAGTTCTGGTGATGAAAGCGAGGATGAAGAACCAAGAATAAAAGATGTTTTGAGTCATCTTTCCCGAGCAGTGCCGGAAAAGCGTGCTTCTGATTTGCTGCATAGTATGGCTGCGTCCAAAGATATTCTTTTCTGGACCCCCAGCGGACAATTACTTCGAAATAAACGCACTATTCCCGTCACAAACATCGCTGAGCTAGTTGAGTATATGTTACTCCCTCATAACATAAGGGTTACCAAGCCTCGTGCGCTGAATACGTTTCTAGATGGACTTGCAGAGTTAGGAATCGATAAAGGTTTAATCAAGAACAAAAAGTTGTGAAGTGATTTAATAGAAAAAGAAAAAGGCTACCAAAATGTAGAAAATACTTCCGATAACGAGAGTAATAATGAGGAGAGTTCATCGGATATTGAAAATCAGGAGGAGGAAGAAGGAAGTGGCTTCTGAGAATGGCGTTGAAGCGGAAGACACCCAAGAGAGCGACAACGACACTGAAAACGACAGTCAGGAGATAGAAAGTAGTAACCCTGAGACGTCCACCACCTTTCACTCCAAAAGTCCCTGTGAACACTGCGAAAACTCTAATGTGTACGGGACATTGATCATGAAATGTCCTAAATGCCTTTGGCACGATTACTACAAGATTTGTCCTATATGCGATCACCAGATTCCCGAGGGGAGACATTACATGAAAGAGGGCTTTCTTCGGTGTCACGATTGCGGAGCAGTTACACACAAAAACGCGAAGACGTTGGAAACCAATTTATATTCCCCTTCTACACAGGAGAACGAAGATGAAAATTAATTAATTTCCATTTCTGTGTATTTGACTCTTTTTGTTTTTAATAAAGTTGTTTAAAACGGTATCTCTCTTGTCTTTTTATTGCTAGCAGTTATGAGTCGCGTGTCTTAAATGATGCTTGTTAAGTTATTTGTTTTATAATAATACGTCAAGGCTGCTCCCTTGAGATTTTTCCTATAGAGCTAATTTGTATTCAACTTTGGGCTTGTGAACTTGCATAATTAACTTATTAACAGCGCGTGAAAATGACAAGACTTTCATTTCCTCGAGATAGAAAGGAGACAATGTCAGACAAACTTGAAATAAAGAGTTTTCAGCTCCAATTTGTGTATGTTTTGTTTATATATATCCGAGTTTTAGCGCTAAATAAGAAGACGTAAACTAAATTGAAATAAAGACATTTCAACTCCACTTTCTGTATGTGTTTTGTTTATGTATATCTGAGTTTTAGCGCTAAATAAGATATAGGAAGCCGTTTCTCGCGTTGCTAGGTGATCGCTTCTATTTTTCTTTTATTAGACGGTCCGAAAACCGGGCTCAAGTTACTTACCGGGCAAGTCTAGCCAAGCCTATTGTTCCTATTGAAGTGGAGTGACGCTTATTAGTAAACCTATACCGAATTAGTATGCAGGAAGACACTGACTAGGCACTTAATTAGTATGCAGGAAATCCATTTTTTCTCTAGGTTGTAACAATGGGTGACGTCATAGACTAGACCATATGCATTTTGATAAAGGGAAGGCATACGGAAGGCAAGGGAAGGCACCAAAACGGTTAAATTTCAACATAGTCTACTACTCATGGTTATGAAGCACGTTGTCTTCATGCTTGATATATTACTTCCACGACTTACCTGCCAATTCTTGGCGCATAGTGTGCAGGTCACTATTGACGGCATGCTTTAACTAAGGGTTCAATTCTTCTTGCTTTTAATTATGTGTCTTGCTCTATCTATTTACAGTCACATACCGGTGCAAACACAATAATGGCGGATGTAGTCAACTTTGTTTGCTTACACCATCTGGAGGAGCGTGCACTTGTTCAGAAGGCTTCATTCTATATGATGACGGAATAACTTGTATTACTAAAGGTACGATAAATTACGATCAGGGAGGCATGACTTTTCCTGTGTGGAATTTCAAAGCATGAAAAGCCGAACGGGATGTTGGCTTAAAAAAAGGGTACGAGTTAAGAAAACTTTCAAATGAAAACGTAGAGACCGTTTTAACGCCATGCTATGCGAAAAATATCATACAGTCTTGGAGAAGTAAAAGAAGCGAATACTACAACTTGAAGACTTCCGAATTAAAGGATATCCCGTACAAGTCGGACGCTGAAATTTTTGGAATTGTGTAAAATCTATGATACGAAATCACTCCACCAATAAGTGAAGTGAATTTGCTGAATTTTTTCCAAGTTGTTAGTGAGTTACGAACACGAGAAGACACCCTAATGCAATCACGGCCACTAGATTACCCCATAACAGAAGCTGAAATATAGGCTTAGCGACAAAAAATTGGCAATATTATGGAATTATCCAAATTGTAAAGCCTACCGGATTTTGTCTCCAACAATTTAGTTAAACTTGGGAGCCAAAATATCAAGATAAAAGACATAATGAAACAGAAGTATAGCCCGTTTCAAACGTCGTGTTACTGCCGTGCTAAGCTGGCTCGACTGTAGCTCGACTGCAGCCCGATACTACAACGACTTGGTTTCAGACGTCGAATTTAATTCAGTCGAATAGAACTGCTGTTGCCGAAAACAAAACATAAAAACAAAGAAACGCTTTAGCAAACTTTTAAATGTATTCTAATATATTCATAATTTATGAATTGAGTTCGGCACGGCAGTAACGCGACGTTAGAAACCATAGTCGTGTTATTGCCCGAGTGCTACACGGTAGTAGCACGACTCGGTTTCATACGTCGCGCTACTGCCGTGCTAAAGTCGAATTTAATTCGATCAATTGAGTTCGGCACGGCAGTAGAACGACATTTAAAACGCGGGCCTAAATTACTCCGTGGCGTCATACAATTGGTACTAGGAAGTTAGAGTTTTATAAGACGTTCAAAAGTTGTTATGGAATTCAATACCTAACTAGAAAACAATTGATAGGAAGGCTTTGGTAAATATTATATACGCGTAAGCAATAAAAAACGTATGATCGAGACTAGAAGATATAACCAAACTCCTAACGACAAAAAATTATGTCCAGTTTGGAATTCCGATGAAAATGAAGACGAAATTCCCTCTTTATATTTCACACTTAGAAATGAATTTTTGTCTCAAATATAGTCAGTTATCTCCATAATTTTCAGCAGCTATCTTACTCGGACCTGGTCATTAAAATGATGAACTCCGGCCCGAAGATATTAGTTATCTTAATTTACGATTGACGAATTAGTATTTCTCATTATTGCATACTTTGCGTGACAGTTTTTTTTACTGTCGTGTAAGAATAATGTCACCTTGATAACAGTGAACCTCGATTTATCGAACCTCTATATAGCAGTCAAAAGCTCGTGTACTGGACACAGATGACGTAAAGCATTTTCTGTTCAGGGAAAAATCCGCCTGGTATTGTTCATGGTCTCTGTTCTTTTGTTTTAGGGACCGATCGTTTATTACGTCACAGAGGGGGGCGGCCGGATACAATTTTCTAAGAGGCTTGATTTTGGGGGGGTCAATTTTGAAAATGCACAAAATGTGATCATGAGGGGGGTCGAAATATTAAGACACAGGACTGACCTTCCATGTGAAAGTTGTCAAGCTATATTATGATTGAAGCAAATCCACGTTTCCTTCGAAAGTAGGCAAAAAAATACGTTTTGTCGGTTCTTTGTCAGAAACGAAATGTTACCCGTATAAAGCTTGGCCCATGCAGGAACCTACCAGCTATTTCTCCTGAAAGCATTTTTATCATTAAATCAGGATAAACATTTCGCATTATATTGGTGTTTTGTGTTACGATTTCCTTTATCCTTTTACTGATTAAGTGGAGTGAAATGGATCCGAAGCATATGTACCCGGAGTATATGTAGCACCTGTGTCAATATGCACAGCTGAGCGTAGCTTCGGCGGTATGAGGAGACTGCAGCAAACTGCTTTACGAAGGACCATGGCAGACGAGAGATTGAGTTCTCGTGCATTTCTGCAAATGAGCTCAAGGACGTAATTGATATTGATGGCATTATAACAGAGTTTATCTGTCTGAAGGGTACACATCTCACGCTTTGCTTGAAACCTCCTTGATGGCGTCACTGCTTTACCTTTTTTTGCCGTAAACACCGGTACCGTACCGTACCGATAACACTACAGGAATGGGTAAAAATAAACAACTAATTACTGCATTTTCCTTCGTCTTTAATTACTGAAGATGTCCTACAGAAAACGCAGGAGAGATAAATTTAATAATGCCCCCAGGACTTCCCCAGGTTTGGGGCGCCTTCGGCGCGCTAACTTTTCCCCTGGGTGCACCTTTAAAATCTCACACTATGCTGCTGACTGCCGGTATCTTGTAGCTTATGAAATCATTGCCCAAGGTGTGGGGTGGGTGTCGGTGTAGTGTACATGTGGGTGTTGTTGGGAGGGGGGGGGGTGGTAGTATTTTCTTTTGTAATTTTTTTTGAGGGGGGGTTAAGTTTTGATACACCACACTTTTCTGAACCCCCTCCCCCCTCCCTGGGACGTAATAAACGATCGGTCCCTTATGTCATCTGTGTCCGGTACACGAATTAAGAGCTTCTGCCTGAGAGACCGGGGCAAGCTTGGAAATAGGGGTCGGCCAATTTGGCTCAAATTTGGCACAGTTAAGTAGGGTGTCTGTAATCCCCAAAAGTTACACTCAGTCTGAGAGCGGGTTTATCCTTAGCAACCGGTTTTGGGCGGTACTAACCGGTCCGTTTTCACTAATTAATTGGCAAAAACGATCGACACTTAAAGCGGATGGGCTTTAATATATGATGGAGTGTCAGAATGGAATTGACGTTAATGGGCTCAAATTTATAGAGTTCATCCAGTTTTTGATCAATATGCTGGCAGTCGCTGTGGAAAGTTAGTAAACATTGATCGGGGAAACAATACGTTTGGGTAATCCCTCGAATACTAATTATTTAAGATGCTGGGTTCGGGCCAGAAATACAAAGAACCAAAAATCGGTTTATGTTCACAGATTCATTTACGAATGCTTCAATGTTCAGGTTACGATTTATGCCGATGTGGAGAACTGGAGCGGGAAAACTAGGTTGATAACACCAAAGACATTTGGCCCGTTCACCATGGAAATACCACAAATGAGCAACGATGATCTATACAAATTCTTGGTTTTCACACTGCTCCAACATGATTTTAGTGTTTTATCAACACTTACGGTGCCAAAATTATGATCCATAAGCCATTACAGTTCAAACAAATGAAAGTTGCTGCTTTAAAGCTCAACTCATTTTCCCTTGATAAACAGTTTCCTATTAAGCAACGAGGAGACAATACTTGTCTGATTGATTTCATCTGGCACCAGTGTCAGAATAAGAACGGATTCAAGCGTTACACTTACCAAAAACTAAAAGATGAGTTTTCAGAATTTGCAACCAGTTTTCCTTTTATGAGCACACAGGAGGTAGTTGATTTGGGCACGCGCCTTTCATCCTAATGTGTCAATTCACGGCTACGATTCAACCTACGAGAAGTTTATGAAACATATTGCATCAACAAAGCGTCATGATGTTGTAATAGTGTTTTTCATCAAGGAAAATCACTGTTATCCAATTACAGATGAGCGGCTCAAGATGTTAGCCACTAAAGGTGTTGACAATTTGTGGAAGTTCACGGGTGAAATGAAATGGTCACTCCGTCATGAGAAATTTGTGGTTATAAGTGATATGGAGGAAGAGGAACAGGTGGATGTTAGTAATAAAATAATCATTTTGCCTGAAGATGAGAAAATTGAGCCG